GATTCAGGAAGAGTATGTAAGAATTCAGCATCCATTTTTGATTAGAAGCTATGCAAATCCATGAATAGAAGAGAATTTCTTTATCCTCATAAAGGTGTATTAAAAAAACTCAGCTAACATCATACTTAATATGATGAAAGGTTAAGTATTTTCCTCCTAAGATTAGGAAGACAGCAATGATATTCACTCATCATTCCCTCTGAATCACTTTTGTATTCTTTAAGATTTATAGGTAGTATGCTTGTGTCTCAGTAATGACAACTATAATTGTGCAGCATTACTAATATATATATATATATATATATGTACATTTGTTTTAAGACACATTTCTGTGGATAATAAAAGGTCTTTGGAACTCATCTCATGCAAGACATGGTGAAAGATGCTCTTCGATCTTTTGTCAGTCCTCCGGTGCTTTCCCCAAGTAAGTATTATCAGACATTTTATAGTATGGTGTGTTTTTGTAAAAATCCAATTTTTTGTGTTCTTTCTAATAACCACAGTTTAGAAGTTGTTTAGGATCAAATCTCCATATAAATAACTCAATCATATTAAAATGAAATTATGGTCTGAGAGTCACTACCCTGTAAACAGGGGTAAAGGCTGGAAAGGGTGGTACATAGACAGAATCATCATTTGGAGTGGCATTTTAAGAAATAAATAGGAGTTTTCCAATGGAGAGGTAAGAAGTGAGTTGTTATTTCTTAGCAAATGAACCAACATGTATGAAGACAGAGTATGAAACTATTTTAAAAGTTAATTCTTAGTGTTCTTACCAACAGTCTGTTGAATAAATCATGCCACATGTATGTAAAACTCTGGTAGCTTTCTGTTTTTGGTTGGATTCCCTGGAAGAAGACCCTGAGACCAAGATAGACGTAAATGTATTTTAGAGTGTTTTCCCAGGAAAAGCCAGCAGGGTTATAGGAAAATAGAACAAAAAGAATGAAGTAACTTTGGTTCAGTACTGTAGGGGAACTGGGACAGTATAGGTTACAAACCTAAGAGTTGTCCTGGCCAGGGATAAGGGAGCTTGAGAATTTAGCCACTGTCATATAAGGACTGCCCTTAGGAGGATATAGATAACTAGGTATGGCATTGTTGGTTGCATTTCCCATTTTGTTCATGGTAAAGATTGTGGTCCTTATAATTAAGACTGCAAGACTTGGTATATGCTGGTCTGTATCTTTATCCTGTCCCTCTCAGTATAACCTCATCCCTTACTGCACTTAGCCTCATCTCCTTTGTTTTTTGATATATTGACCTGCTTGCTATTCAGGGACATTTTCCTCAAAAATCCCCAAGGTTGACACCACCTGAAATTCAAGTCTGCTCACTGTTACCTCAGTTACAGCTACTCTAGCCACCCTACTTAAAATTACAACCCCCATTTCTACTCCATTTCTCTTTTCCACAACAGTTTTCCTTTACATGCCATGTAACTGACTTCTGGATTGTTTATTTCAGTGTCCCTCTCTCTATCTCCCCCAGGTAGAATAGAAACTCCACGGACTCAAACTTTTTGTCTGGAAAGTAATTAAGGAGCCAAATAGCTTTTGTTACATTGGTCAGATCTATTGATAGCTACTATTTGAGAAATGAGAGCAGTACTTTAAAATATTTTTAATTCATTGAATAATAATAATACTAAATTCATTATATAGTAACATAAACAGTTTTTTTATGGAAAATGTTTGTCTCTAATATAAATTGGTGAGAAAAGTGGCATTGTTACATTTTTGTGTTTTCTTAACTAGAAAATAGCTGCATTATCTTTCTTGCTTTTACTTTCCATCTGCTGTGTTGTCACATGCCATGGAACTTCTGGAAGTATCGCTGTATACTTGTGAGAGAATGAATACAAAGACATGTAAGGTCTAAATTGTACTTTGTGTTTCCCTCTGAAATTGTCTCAAGGCCACCCAGGGAAACTGAGACTGTATTTTGAGACCTGCTGGTTATAATTTCAAATTTTCCTCCTACTACATCCTTTCCCTTACTCTAGTCTTAGATGTAATCATGACAGTGAAGCTTACTTGTATCCTTGCACCAAATATATGTGTCCATAACAGTGCTCTAATTTATTTTGTTTTAAAATTTTTACTTGTTTGTTGGGAGTGTTTTTTGGCCACACTGAGGTTTGGACTCTGGCTTTGTGCTTGCTAGGCAAGCATTCTATCTACCACTTGAACCATGCCCCAGCCCTTTAATGTTTGTTTGTCTATTTACTTTGTTTTTCAAGTGGGTTTCTGCCTAGAGCCAGCATCAGACTGCAATCTTCCTACCTCTCCCTCCTGCCATCTGGGATTACAGGTGTGCACCACCATACCAGCCCTATTTTACATGTTTTAAACTTGACATAAATTTTATCACAATATGATTTTTTTCTTTCCATGTTGGAATTTTAATATCTACCCAAGTTGATTCATGCAGAAATACTTGATTTATTAAAATAGAATCTTTGGACATACTGCAGTTTATTTGCCATTTCTCCACAACTGGAAATTTGTCTCTAATTTACTATTATTGAAATTAGCTCTGTAGTGAACATCTTGGAATCTATGTCTCACACGATTCAGAATTCTGAATCATAGAACATGCACACCTTCACTTTATTATGCCAGATTGCTTTCCAGAGTAATTGAACCAATTTGTATATTGGCAAGTATTCTATAAAGAGTGCCTGTTTCCCCCACTCTAACTTTTGGCATTATGAAACTTTTTAATTTCAAGTCTGATGCCTGTGAAGTAGTATCTAGCTGGGGGTGTGGCTGAGTGGTAGAGCACATGTTTATCTTGGGAAAAGTCCTGGTTTCAGTCCCTAGAACCATCTCTTCATTTGCATTTTACCCATTCTTTTAAACAATCCTCCTTTAGACATTGTTCCTCTTACTATTTTCCATTTAGATATAACTGTAGCTGATCTTCATTGTTCATGGACTCTATATTTGGAAATTGTCCTGCTCACTAGGATTTATTTGTAACCCTAATCAACACTGCTTTTACCATTTTTGCAGATATATGCAGAACAAGGATTGCTAAGGTCCAACTAAGCATCTCAGCTTTCTCATTTGTTTCAGATCCTGTACTGTAAACAACTCTATTTAGTGGCACATTTTCACTTTTTTATGGGGTTTCACTATTTAAAAATGGCTCCCAAGCATAGTGACATGCTATCTAGCCTTCCTTAACATAAGAAAGCTGTGATGTGTCTTATGTATGTAGAAAATACATGTATTAAATAAGTTTCACTCAGCCATGATGTGTTATAGTGCTGCTGGGACATGAAAACGGTATTAATGAGTCAAAAATACACATTAAATAAGGTGCTTTAAAACAAAATGCACACATAAAATAATACATTCTGAATCATACATGAAAGTGTTGTGACCAAAGACTCATTCAAATTAGCCCTATATTTCCTTTGGGAGTTTAGCCTCTCCACTGTTTATCAAATTACAGTATTACAATAAGATTCTGATGCTGGACTGGAGGTGTGTCTCAGTGGTTAGAGTGTTTGCCTAGCATGTGTAAGTATAAGACCATGGTTCTCATCCCTAGCATTGCAAAAACAATCTGATGGTGATCTAATTTTGTTGTTATTTGTAAGTGATTTGAAACTTTCTTCTGTGACATAGAATTTTTCTTTACAAGTTCAGGAGTTTTACAGCGTATTCATGTCTAATTTTCACCTACTTTTACCTGGAACTCAGTCATTAATGTATCAGGTCTTCAGGTCATTATCCATGTTACTGCTTATCAAACTGTTGCCTCACCTTCAAGTACTTTTTTCTCTTTAGAACTTCTGGTACTCTATCTTGTCTTCTAGGTCACCTGCTGTATATTCTCTGACATTTTCTCCTTGTTATTTTTGCTGTGTTGTAAGGAAGCTCTTTCTCGTTCTTGAAGGTTACTAGTGAATATTTTTCTTTCTATTGATTTAAATATGAAGACCCATTATTTTTAGATCCAGAGAGTCTCTTTTTAGATCTTTTAGATTTTTAGATCCAGAGAGTGTGCCTGTCTCACAAGCTTTATGTCTGAATTCAAACTCCAGTACCACCAAAGAGGAAGAAAGAAAAAAAAAAATCATTGCTCAGAATGTCTTCTTTTTGAAAGTGTGCTTTAATTTAGTCTCCTTAAATAATTTTCTTACTTTGAGTTTAAAGAACATTCCATCATTTACATTTCACCACCCCCTCATTCAAGTCTGCTTTTTCTTCCACCTGGCTGCTGGGTGTCCTGTCATTTTCTGTTGCAAGATCATGACTATGTTTCTCTTTGAACTCTCATCAGATTACTCCCTAAAGCAAACACTTAGGAGTAAAAGGTGTTAGCGCCTATCAAAGTATTCTGCTTTCTACTATCTCTTTAGGTGCAGATAGATGCTACTAAATTTCCACAAAGGTTAAAAAAAAAAAAAATCTTATCTTTTCAGCCTCTGTAGCTCCCCCGGAGCCAGGAAGCAGGTCTTTTATGACTACTGAGGAAGGCATTACTTGAAAAGTGATGCTATTAACTGAGCTAAAGAACACTGAACACTGAAGGGAACCACTTCATTAGACTGGGAGATGGGATGTTGGAGGGAATGTATTCACAGTCAATCCTTGAAATGGGGATGTATCTTGAAAGAAATTGGGATTCTGTATAGTATTTTGTTTGTAATTACTATTAGAAGCACATTCCATGAGGATGTCATTTGTTCATGAAGTGAGGCTTTTAGCTTTTTCTTTTATCTTCCTAGTTTGATCTCATTACATCCATCTCTAATTGTCCAAATACAGACCTAAAAAGAATTTGGAAATGTCACACATTTTCTGTGTGAACAACACAGTGATAGTGAAATATTTCTTAATCTAATGTTGGTGTTCTTCAACTTAGTAATGAGTGTATTTGGTTGCTTTTTTCCTCCTTCTCTGTTAATATTATCTATAATAATCACTGCCTCTTTTGTCTGAACCAGATAGTTGGCATTTAATGATGTGAGTATCATCTTACAGGTGCTGCCTATATAATAATCACCAGGCTAAGGACTGTATTGACTCCTTTGTTACTCACTGTGTTCGGGTAAGAACTACAACTGGGATTGTTGTGATGGACACTAAAAATTATGGGGTGTAATTCTGTTAATAGTGCTAATTTATGTTTGTTTTCATCTACTTCACATTCAGTGAATAAAAAATATCTGTCTCCTCTTAACACTTGAATTTATGACCTGTAGCCTTCATGGCAGGCTGTCAGATACAGACTCAGCTGTGGATGACCTTAGGGGTCTACTAGAGCCTTAGGGGTCCACAAAGATAGTATGGTATAACCTCCAACTAGAAAGCACTTGGTTCCCCAGTCTTTTTTTTTTTTTTAAGTGGACAGAAAAACTACTTTTAGGCTTGTCTTAGTACTAACTTAACAGGGTTATATTTAAATTAGTATTATTAGTTTAAATGAGGTCACAAACATTTGTTAGGTCTCAGTTAACTAGGGAAAAACAGTGCAAACCTTGGAGTAGGTTAAGTTATAAGTCATTCTTAATTCTCACACACACATATTTGGCTTTTGTCTTAGAAAAGAAATTGTCATTCTAAGATGACGATTTTACAATTATAGAAAGACATCTAAAGATTGAAGGAAAATACTTTTGCCATATAAAAAGTTTTAAAACAGCCACTTTTTTCTAGTTATTGACAAATTCTGGTTTGAGTTCCTTATAAACAAGCACCTATTTAAAATACGCATAGGCATGATTCTTACATATAGCATTATTTTTTCTCTTCAGCCAGATTTTTGAGAATTTGGAATGTTGTTTCTTTAGGATGAGGAAAATTTAACACTGAATATTAACAAATTGTACCGTGTATTACAGCCGTTCTGCAGTCTTATTCAGATCCACGGACATAACAGAGCTCGACAGAGAGATAAGCTTGGTCATATTCTTGAGGAATTTGCTACCTTACAGGATGAGGTAAGAGCTAAACTGCCTTCTTTTCTATAATTAAACAATTCACAGCTGGATGTGGTGGCACACACCTATAATCCCAGTATTCAGCATCTGAGGCAAGTGGATTTCAAGGCCAGCCTGGGATACAATAAGTCCCTGTCTCAAAAACAAACCAAAAAACCACTCATCCACAATTCATCTTAATTATCTAGATTTTTTCCAAAACAATATTTTATTTGATTTTTCACTATGAGATGAGCTTACTTTTCACTTACAATAAGTTTCATATACTAAAGGAAGAGTTTTAAGAAGAATCAGAACAATAATCCAAACCGATAAACATTTAAATTATTTCTTTGATAATCAGGGCAAAAAGTACATATAGAACTGTAGTTTCATGGTAAATACATATTCTAATAAAAATATATTATTTTGTCATTTTGTGAGAAGTTGCCGTAATATTGATAATATAAGATAAAGACCTAAAGTCAGTTATTCAGGGTTTTTGTTTGCATTCTGTTTTGACACAGGGTCTCACTGTGTTGCCTAGGTTGGTTTCATACTCCTTAAACTCCTGCTTCAGTCTCCTAAGTAGTTGGAATTAAAGCCTGTACCACTGTGCATGGTTAAGAGTTATTTGTATTCTTATTACTTAAAATGGATGTCTCTTTAAGGAGTGATTAGGTTAACTATTGTGAAAGAAGACTTTTGCATGTAAACTTACCCAAAAAAATGCATTTGAAAGTAGGAGTCCTTTGAGCAGTGAAATTTAAACATTCTCTGTATATTTTAAATTTCTTTCATTGCCTTAAAGATGTCTCTTTAAGGAGTGATTAGGTTAACTATTGTGAAAGAAGACTTTTGCATGTAAACTTACCCAAAAAAATGCATTTGAAAGTAGGAGTCCTTTGAGCAGTGAAATTTAAACATTCTCTATATTTTAAATTTCTTTCATTGCCTAAAAAAGTCTCAATGTTGTGACATTTTATTTTGATAGGCAGAGAAGGTTGATGCAGCGCTTCACACTATGCTGTTGAAACAGGAACCTCAAAGGCAGCATTTGGCCTGTTTAGGAACCTGGGTCCTTTACCATAACCTTCGAATTATGATACAGTATCTCCTAAGTGGCTTTGAATTGGAACTGTATAGCATGCACGAGTACTACTACATATACTGGTAAGAGAACAATTTGAGTTAAAATTGGTGATGGGTAGAATGGGTAAGATCTGAGAGCATCTGTAAAATAGAGTGTAGTTTTCTAGTACTTTTTCATTTAGTGTATTTTAACATTAGTTGTGGGACAGTTGGAAGAATATCTGTTGAAAATTCAAGCTAGATCATTGGGAACATCTTATATGGCCTCACATTATATAAATTTTTTCTAGCCATTTGACTACTTATGTAAAAATTTCTAATGAAAGTGGCTCCAAAGTAAATGGATTAATTAAAGATCTCTTGTTTGTATCTATGGAGAAAAATGAACATTTTGCCCTGACTTTGACAGTTGTGGGTATACCTGACAGAGTGGAAGTTCAGACTGGAACCAACCTTCTCTCCTAACACTTTGCCTTGATAGCTTTGGAGGCAGTGAGAGGTGATCTTTAGCAGAGTAGTTCTTCCTGGAGGATGAGATAAGGAAACCTGGAAAGAAAGTGTTTGAGACTATCATAGGCACAGAAAATAATGTCATAGAAAGAAAGTAATTTATGAAAATTGATTGTTAATGAATTTAGGTATGTAAGAAGGTACCCAAAAAGATTAGCTATCTGGCAAAGTATACAGGTAATTTTAAACAATGTCCTGTGCTGCTTATCACAAGCACCTAAATTTGGCATATTAGACTTGAATATAGTTTACCTTTTCAACTCATACTTAAATTTATTTAACTTAAGATGATATTCTCTGGAGTTACTGCTTCCACACTGTTGACATGGGGTTGTTTAAAGCAGCAAGGGTCTTCACAGATAACTCTTGGCTATGAAAATTGAATTTAAGCATTGACCACTAATATGAGAAGAATTTATTTGGTATATTTTGCAACTTTTATAGATGTAATACCAAATGATCCTTACTGGGAGGTATTAATAAAGCTACTTGGTTCATATTTTGTTAACTTCATTAGCTTATAGAAGATATTCCTATTGGTTTTTTTGGGTTTTTTTGAGACAGGATCTTGCTATGTAGCCCAGGTGGCCTTGAGCTCACAGTCCTCCTGCCTCAGCCTCCTTAGTGGTGGAATTATAGGCACATGCCACCACACCTGGCCTTTGATTGATTTTTATGAGGTAACATGCTCAAGTTCTTTTTCTTTGTGGTTTGAAGCAGCTAATTGGAAGCTTTTCTTCTTTGTTTCTCAGATGAAAACATAATTTTATATGCCTTTTTTGCACAAAGAATTGGCAGTGTTTTTCTTTTGGGCTAAATTTCGTCTCAGGGTCTCACACTTGTTAGGCAGACGCTCTACTGCTTGAGCCACTCTGCCAGCCCTGCTCAAAGAATTGGTATCTTAATTCAGCAAATGATTGGTAAATAATTGCATTTCAGATTTATCTACATAAGCAGATTCATTTTTTATTAAAATTTTTGTGATTCTTTCTATAAATAGTATTGTGGCCTTCATTTAGTACCAAACTTCAAAATTAACATGAGACTCCTACAAAATAATTTTTTGTTGTTGGATAATGTCTTTAAAAAACTTTAAAGCATTATAGAAACTATCCACTTGGGGCTGAGGATATAGGAGAATGCATTATTAGAATGTATGAATCCCTGAGTTCAACTCCCCAGCACCAAAAATAAAATAACAAAAACTATACATTGGGCTGGGAGGGTTGTGAAGCGTCTGCCTACCAAGTGTAAGATCCTGAGTTCAACCCGCAGTTCTGCCAAAAAAAATATATATATATATATATATATATATATATATATACATATTATACATTATTACTAATGCATGTGTTGATAAAGCTATCTCTTTTAGACATCTACCACAAACTAACACTTTTTACACTTTAAGGTATCTCTCTGAATTCCTTTATGCATGGTTGATGTCAACACTGAGTCGGGCTGATGGCTCTCAAATGGCAGAGGAAAGGATAATGGAAGAACAGCAGAAAGGCCGTAGCAGTAAAAAAACAAAGAAAAAAAAGAAAGGTGCTGTGAACTTATTTTATTTTATTTATTTTTGAGACAGGGTCTCACTGTGTTGACCAGATTGGCCTCAAACTCAGAATTCGCCTGCCTTAGTCTCCCGAGTGCTAGAACTACAGGGCATGTGCCATCATTTCTGACTCTGTGGACTATTTTTAAACTTAAGAAACTTTACTTTTGACAGACAGATTGGAAGCTCTTCATGAGTTCTAGTGGGTGAATTAGTCATATTTTAGTACTTTTCCACTATCCATTCAAAAATTAGAGACCAAGTTCCCATATTAGTGATACAAACCTTTTTGTTCCTTTTCTTGCTTTTCTTTTATTTCTTTGCTGTTCCATGTATCAGAGGATCTGAGATCAAAAAGTAGACATTTGGAATGTGCAAGCAAGATTTGTTGGCAGGGTTCTATTGATCTTTTGACAGAGCCCTATGGCTCAGGAGAGGTTACTTGTGCTGCGCCATCATAGTGGGTGTGGGAAGGTAATCATAGAGCTTCCGAGGCATGATCAGAGAATCACAAGGAAAGAGAAGCTTTTCAGAGGGGCTATGCTATTGATCATTTAGGAAAGTATGGATGTTACTATAGTCATTAAATACTATTTGTGTTCCTTAGGATTTTAAGCAATTTGAATGGGTCACTGAATGACTGCTTATTCACAGGTTAAGTGTCTATGGTGAATTTAGAAAAGTTTAAAATTGCTTCCTACTATATTTCTATAGTATTAGCTATTTGGGGAACACAAGTATTGTTTAGCTTTTCAGTTGTATTTTATTATTTATAGATTTTAGTCACAAAATGAAGGCTGTACGAGCAAACTGAAGTTTACATTTCGTAAACATACTGGAAGATTTTTTTTTTAAGTATTTTTTCTCCTACAATAATGCAAGAGAGAAGGGCAAAAGAATATGGAAGATTTTCTTTTTAATTACAGTTCGCCCTTTGAGCCGAGAGATCACAATGAGCCAGGCCTATCAGAACATGTGTGCTGGAATGTTTAAAGTAAGTTGTTGAAAATGAAGTTCTGTTTGCTGTCTATGTTGCTATTATATAGTTTATTTAAAATGAACTCTTTTCCATGATTCTTAGCAAGTTCTAATTTCATCTTGTGTTATTTTCCCGTCTGCTTAGAGGTTACCTTTTAAGACTAGCTGTTTGCCATAAGCATTTGAACCCACACTTTGTGTCAGACTCTTTGTATTGGTTACACTTGTCCTTGTTTCACACATGCCAGGTGGCACACAAGACCATTTGACATATGTGTGACACAGGTAGTAAGAGAACTCACTTCTGATGATCAGGAAAGGCCTCATAGAAGGGATGGGTTTGGGTTTTTTTAAGGGGTATATTAGGAATGGGGTGGATTCCACAATGAATGGTGTAAGCAAAAGCATGCATTTCCACAAGGTAGTGAGTACTAACTTTTAAGTGGTACTTGGCAATTCAAGAAATCATTTGAGGCAACTTATATTAAAAGGATGTTTGACGGAAAAAGAATGTATGAAAACAATTCCATTTACAATAGCCTCAAAAAAAATCAAATACCTAGGTGTAAACCTAACAAAAGATGTGAAAGACCTCTACAAGGAAAACTATACACTTCTGAAGAAAGAGATTGAGGAAGACTATAGAAAGTGGAGAGATCTCCCATGCTCATGGATTGGTAGAATCAACATAGTAAAAATGTCGATACTCCCCAAAGTAATCTACATGTTTAATGCAATTCCCATCAAAATTCCAATGACATTCATTAAAGAGATCGAAAAATCTACTGTGAAATTTATATGGAAACACAAGAGGCCACGAATAGCCAAGGCAATACTCAGTCAAAAGAACAATGCAGGAGGTATCACAATACCTGACTTCAAACTATATTACAAAGCAATAACAATAAAAACAGCATGGTACTGGCACAAAAACAGACATGAAGACCAGTGGAACAGAATAGAGGATCCAGATATGAAGCCACACAACTATGAGCAACTTATCTTTGACAAAGGAGCTAAAAATATACGATGGAGAAATAGCAGCCTCTTTAACAAAAACTGCTGGGAAAACTGGTTAGCAGTCTGCAAAAAACTGAAACTAGATCCATGTATATCACCCTATACCAAGATTAACTCAAAATGGATCAAGGATCTTAATATCAGACCCAAACTCTTAAGTTGATACAGAAAGAGTAGGAAATACTCTGGAGTTAGTAGGTATAGGTAAAACTTTCTCAATGAAACCCCAGCAGCACAGCAACTAAGAGATAGCATAGATAAATGGGACCTCATAAAACTAAAAAGCTTCTGTTCATCAAAAGAAATGGTCTCTAAACTGAAGAGAACACCCACAGAGTGGGAGAAAATATTTGCCAATATACATCAGACAAAGGACTGATAACCAGAATATACAGGGAACTTAAAAAACTAAATTCTCCCAAAACTAATGAACCAATAAAGAAATGGGCATGTGAACTAAACAGAACTTTCTCAAAAGAAGAAATTCAAATGGCCAAAAACACATGAAAAATGCTCACCATCTCTAGCAATAAAGGAAATGCAAATTAAAACCACACTAAGATTCCACCTCACCCCTGTTAGAATAGCCATCATCAGCAACACCACCAACAACAGGTGTTGGCGAGGATGCGGGGAAAAAGGAACCCTCTTACACTGTTGGTGGGAATGTAGACTAGTACAACCACTCTGGAAAAAAATTTGGAGGCTACTTAAAAAGCTGACATCGATCTACCATTTGATCCAGCAATACCACTCTTGGGGATATACCCAAAAGACTGTTACTCCAGAGGCACCTGCACATCCATGTTTATTGCGGCACTATTCACAATAGCCAAGTTATGGAAACAGCCAAGATGCCCCACACTGACGAATGGATTAAGAAAATGTGGTATCTATACACAATGGAATTTTATGCAGCCATGAAGAAGAACGAAATGTTATCATTCGCTGGTAAATGGATGGAATTGGAGAACATCATTCTGAGTGAGGTTAGCCTGGCCAAAAGACCAAAAATCGTATGTTCTCCCTCATATGTGGACATTAGATCAAGGGCAAACACAACAAGGGATTGGACTATGAGCACATGATAAAAGCGAGAGCACACAAGGGAGGGGTGAGGATAGGTAAGACACCTAAAAAACTAGCTAGCATTTGTTGCCCTTAACGCAGAGAAACTAAAGCAGATACCTTAAAGCAACTGAGGCCAATAGGAAAAGGGGACCAGGAACTAGAGAAAAGGTTAGATCAAAAAGAATTAACCTAGAAGGTAACACCCACACAGGAAATCAATGTGAGTCAATGCCCTGTATAGCTATCCTTATCTCAACCAGCAAAACCCTTGTTCCTTCCTATTATTGCTTATACTCTCTCTACAACAAAATTAGAGATAAGGGCAAAATAGTTTCTGCTGGGTATTGAGGGGGGGAGCGGGAGGGGGCGGAGTGGGTGGTAAGGGAGGGGGTGGGGGCAGGGGGGAGAAATGAACCAAGCCTTGTATGCACATATGAATAATAAAAGAAAAATGAAAAAAAAAAAAAAAAAAAAAAAAGGATGTTTGAAAAACAAGACCTATGCCTATGAAAATTCTGTTACTGATTCTTGAGAAGCTTTTACTTGAAGCAATTGCAAAAGCATGACATAGGAAAGAATAATGTGCATGTGGTATAATTTCACTGGGAAAATAACATATTGAACACTGGCACTTGAAATTTTGGCACATAAAATAAAAATGAATACTAAGAGGTTAGTTTTTCTCTTCCATTTCTGAGACATTGTTTTAACAAAATAAGTAGTTAGGAGGAAGCCACTTTTTTATATGGCTTACTCTTTTTTCTTGTTCTCTTTTCCTGTAGACAATGGTGGCATTTGACATGGACGGCAAAGTACGCAAACCCAAGTTTGAGCTTGATAGTGAGCAAGTTCGGTATGAACACAGGTTTGCTCCATTCAATAGTGTGATGACACCACCACCGGTGCACTACCTACAGTTCAAGGTAAGCCTACCCGGTGAGATCATTCTAAGGTCTTTGGTCTTACGCCTTCTTAGAGATGTGCTGTTTGTACCTACCCAGCCATCTTGTTAGAATAGGTAGTCAAACTTGCTGGACTTTTGGCACAGGTTATTTATGTTATGGGAATAGTAATGAGGTTGAGAGTTAGATATTATATAAGTAAAAAAAACAGGGAGATGTGCTGAGCATTTACTTCAGTAGGTATATAAATGGATAGTTAATGTAGAATCCTGTAGTAATTTTAAAAAGGCATTTTAGAGTTTCTCACATTAAACATATTTTGCTAATAGTCTCCCATCTTTTTAGGAAATGTCTGACCTCAATAAATATAGCCCTCCTCCTCAATCTCCAGAACTGTATGTAGCAGCTAGTAAGCACTTTCAACAGGCAAAAATAATATTGGAAAATATCCCCAGCCCAGACCACGAGGTAAGACTGGATTCTCTGTAATTCTAGGGGCAAGCTTGGCAGGAAGTATATGTCTTAGTACTAGATGAATCTTAATTATAATGAACCTTACAGTATTAGTAAACAGAGCCTGGCATGTTTTTGCCAAGGATTTCAAATAATTTTGCCAACATAACCATTTTAAGTTTTAAATATAAAAGATGATCTTGGCCAATTGTCACAGGAACATTATTCAACTTGACTATTTAAAGTAAAGGCTGTTGCCTTAGAAGCCTTTGAGATATCAAAGTAAACTTTGAAAATAAATGTTTAAGCTTTTGATAGTTTAATAATTTGCTATTTCTGTAGTTTTATTGGATACATTCATTCTATAAATAAAGAGCGACCCATTTGGGGGAGTAAAAGAAGTGTAATATCATTTATCTTAATTTAAAAAACTGTCAACACTCCCTTCTATTATAGGAAGTAGTATTCATATCTGTAATATAAAGAGATTTAGCTAGGAATTTTATATTATGATGTTCATGTTTTAGGTCAATAGAATTTTAAAGGTTGCCAAGCCCAACTTTGTGGTTATGAAGTTGCTGGCAGGAGGACACAAAAAAGAATCAAAGGTAAATTATATTGTGAAGAAAATCATTGTATAACTTCACGTTTTCAATGCATAAATATTGTTATGGAATAAGTTAAAACACTGAACAAAAGCCATTCTCAAAGAAGCTGAACAGCAAGAAATGAATTAATGAAAGCTTACCATGTTGCCTTAAGATATATCTTGCGACTTAAAAGTTTCTAGTCTGTCTTCTGACCCACCCATGTAAATTATTGAATAACTTGGGATAAAAAAGAAAATGTGTGAAAGCAAATTTATGGGAGAAGTAGGAGGTATTTAAAAGTCACTGCCTTTGGGAAAAGTAAAAGCTTCAACATTTAGAGATTTCTTTTTAAAGGCACAGTGAATGGTGGAGTCATTAGGCCTCCCTTAGTAATGCTGGCAGTGCAGCACTACATCAGCATGCTAGCATAGAAGAGCCATCTTGTACAAGAGCCAGTCGCCAAGGCATTCCTGCCTTCCTTCAGTGATGACTCATTTTATTACTTGGTGCTGTCAGTGACACTAAAACTAAAATGTTTGCTGCCCTGATGTAAGTAATTTACATCTGTTTTCCTTTGTTAATAACTCCTCTCTGAAGATAGAAAACAGTATGTTTTCTGAGGACCTTCATAAACCAGAAACGAGTTATTTTTTCCTCTAGGTTCTTGACTTTCTTGTCATTAAACCATTTTTTTAAAAATTCTGTTTTGTGCTGCCTTCTTTCTAAAATCATAGGAAACTCTGAAGATGGTATTTATCTGTTTATTTGTCTGAACACTTATAGATACATTAATTGACTTTCTGGGTTTTTTTTTTATAGGTTCCTCCTGAATTTGATTTCTCTGTTCACAAATATTTTCCTGTTGTGAAACTTGTTTGAGGGACTGAAAAGGTAACCATAAAAGGGTAGAATCTGCATTCAGATTCCATCCATCAGTCTTACTACATGACGCGAAATGAAATGGATTCTTGGATAACAGCCCATTATAAGGAATACTTTTAATTTGACAGCCTTACATGACATGAGTGAAAACTGCTGTTTTAAAGTGGTTTATTATGTTCCATGGATGAAACTGTTCTTACTGAATGCATTGATGAACGTTATATGGTTTTATTACAGATTTAATCATAAATCATTTTTTATGAATGAGTGAAAATAGTGTTTGTAAAGGTTAATAAATTTCTTGACAAAAATGCATTACTGGAGATGAAAAACAGTATGGTTCTGTTGATACATGCTAAGAACTGAAGGTGTTTGCACATTCCCATATCAGCAGTTTAAAAACAAATTATCCAAAAGAACTTTCAAGTCCTGGGATTTATTAAACACTTAGATTTTGGTGAAATACACTTAAAAGGCTTTTTTTTCTTTCTAAGGTATAAAGGCAGACTAAAAGTACGTGGGGACTGTGATTTATGTGCCACTATAAATATATCTATAATACAAATGTTTTTAAGAATCCTTTAACTGGTACTTTTGGTATTTAAAACATTACATTTGCTGGTGACATTCACAGGGTAGGAAGGTAGAAATGTATAGGTTAAATTTTAGGTCTGGGATCTAAATATGGTATGCAGGCTCCTTGTTTACCTGATTCAATTAACCTATGAAACATACCAGGGAGGGAGGTTTGTTCAGTGTCCTCTGTTTTTGAAAACCTGACTTCAGTCTCCCTGTCCCTGTGAGTGCTGGATGCCAGAGGCCCCACCTTCCTTTGCTGTACATTCCTCTTCCAGTTCTGCACTGGTGTTTGCCATGGAAACTGTCCAAGCTTTGGGGGGTCTTCCCTTTTGTATTACCCTGTAGGATGCAATACCATTACTATGGCTTAAATTGGCTTCTGTGGCTTGGCCTAAGACTAGTAACAGCTTACTTGGTTTATGGTAAGAATGGTTCTAAACTTTAAATATCTTAACCTTGACTTGACATCTTTTTTATTTTTTGGTGTGGTGAGGACAGAACCCAGGGCTTCAGGCATGCTAGGCAGATGCTCTATCACTGAGCTAGGACTCTAGCCTCTTGACACCTTTCTTAAAAAGAAGATACTGAAATTTTTTCTTAGTACACTGAAGCAGCTAACCTGACTGAACTTGCCTGCCATACTAGAGAAGATTATGGGGTAAGGATATTCCTGAGCTACTGAAGTAGTCTGGCTCTCTTTTCAGTAGTGTTTACACTTGCCTGAATTTGGAATAGCCATTAGGCAACTTGAAATTTCAGAACCCAAAAGTTTTGTAAAACATGACCTATATAGCAGAAACTTGAAATATGAGGAGATAAAGAGTACACTTGTTATATTTAATGTGTTGAGTAGGAAATCAGACTTTTTGATTGCTAACTTCTAAATACTTTAAACAAAAAGCAACAAAATGATAGGAAATAGGCAATAGAAGAAACAAAATCAAAAAAATAGGCAAAGAGAAAAATGCATTGACATTTAGCAAACAACCAGGAAGAGAGGCTGAGGCAAGTTAGAAAATTGAATTATTCCTTTCCCATGACCAAGATAGGAAATATTAAAAAAAAAATGCTAAAAATTCAACATAGCTGCTTTCAGTTCAAATGATGCTCTGGCATTTTTTAACTGCTGTGTCCCAGTGGTCAGCCAGTGCAGGTGAAAGTTATGGAGCTACTAACTAAACAACATCTTAGTTTTTTTATTTTTTTTTTTTTTTTGGGTGGTGGTGGTGGTAGTGGTAGTGGTACTGGTTCTGGGGTTTGAACTCAGGGTCTTCTGCTTGCTAGGTAGGTGCTCTACCACTTGAGCCATGTCCCTACCCCCTTCTGCTTCAGGGTTTTTTTTGTTTGTTTTTCGAATAGGGTATTACATTTATGTCTGAACTGGCCTGAAACAACGATCCTCCTATGTATGCTGCCTGCATAGCTGAGATGACAGGTGCACTCTACCATGCCCACATGTTCCTAAGAGTAGTATTACTGTGAACTCCATATCAACAAAAAAACCTAAAAGATTTGTTATTGTGTTATTGATAAAATCCTTTTAAGTAACTTTAGGTTTTTGTTTTGTTTTTTGACAGCACATTTGTAATCAGAAAAATGAAAACTTGCTTTTTAGAACGCTTACAATTCAATGTACTAAAAACACTATGATAGAAACATACTTTCTCTTATAAAGCTTATAATCTTAGCAAGAATGCAAAAAAGCAAAAACGGGTATTTAAAATGCAGTGAGGAAAATGCACTACACCAGGTTTGCATTGTTTTGTTCTTGAATATCCCCCAAAGGTCCCATGCTTGGGAAGGGGTTGGAACCTTAAAGAGGTGGGGCCTAGTGGGAGGCTGTTAGGTCTTTCAGGATGTATGCTGGGAGGGGATATTGGCATCTGGGCCCCTTGTCTCTTGCTTCCTGGCTGTCGTGTGGTGAACAGATTCCTGTGCCACATGCTCACCATGACGTACTGTACCACCCCAGCCCCATAATAGGGCTAAGCAACGGGAAACCTCTGAAATTGTGAGCCAAAATTAACTTTTCCTACTTTATAGTTTTTTTTTTTTTTTTTGGAGGTTCTGTGGTTTCAAACTCAGAAACTTAACCTTGCTAATAAGCAGGTGCTCTTACCACTTCAACCACACCTCTGTTTTTGCCTCATGTTTCACATACGATCTTGTAGGATTTTTTTGCCCAGGCAACCTTCAGACCAAGATCCTCCTACCTAGATGGGATCCATCTAGGGATGGGATCCTATCTTTGAGATAGGTAGGGTCTCACTAATGTGTGCTGGCTGACCTCAAACCCCTGTCATCCTCTCTCTGCTTCCTAAGTAGCTGGGATTTATAGGCATGAACCACCATATCCAACCAACCATTCCTCCTTTTATGTTGGTTATCTCAGGTGTTTTTTCATAGTAACTACCTCTAAACTTTATACGGAAATTCACCATCTTCTCTGAGCCCCAAAGGTTCAAGCAGATCCAGGGAAACAGGATATTCATAGACTAGAAGGTGAGAGAGGCAGCTACACTAAAGTTAGTGCAGGAAAGGAGACCGGAGAGAGGAGATTGATAGATGATGAATGGCCAATCTGGGAGGAAGCTTAGGAATTCTGACATTGGTGGATACCACTGAAGACTTATGCAGGGAAGTGAGTCATCAAATCTGCTTGCCTGAGAGTGGTTCAAAGAGGCAAAACCAGAGAGAAGGAAGCCAGTTATGTGAGAGAATATGACCTTAACTAAGGTAACAGCAGAAGGCATGGTTGGAGAAAAGTGAGTGGAATCAAAAGATTTCAGAAGCACACCTTACAGGAAGTGGTAAATAAATAAAAAGGAGTGGGTGAGTTTGTATGGGAATGAAGCATGATGATTCAGTTGTTTGGGTTTTATCAGCTAGATTGATGAAGTCACTTTTGCTTATATATACAGCACAAAAGACCAAGTTTGGGCACAAGGATTATTGGCAATGTCTGTGGGACATTCTGGTAGATGTGGCAAACAGTTTGGTCTGGCACCGAAAAGTACAATCTGAGGTGGAAATGAACAGAGACTAAGTGGCCCTCAACATTCAAATGAAAGCTTTGCTCAGGGATCACTTAAAGAGCCTGAGATGGGTCCCAAGAAACTGGCTTGGAATGGCTGAGTTGTAAAAGTAGACTGGGGAAAGAGGAGGACAGGAGGTGGTGCAAGGAAGAGCTGTTTTGCTTTTTACACGACTAAACTTTCTAGGTCAGATAATATATTCCCTTGAATACTGGCTAACAAGCACCCTGTTTAAAAAGTTTAAAAGAAGCATTTGCTGCCCTGTTCTTCCATGGCTGTGGTACCAGGCACTAGAGATACCTCACCAGTAAAGAGACTCGCAAGAAGAAAAGCAGAATACATGCAGCTAAAAGGCCAGGAACTGATGAACCAAAATGTTCTATTGTATGGCAAGTAAAGGTTGCCGGTGATGAGAGCTTTTTCTTGAAGGGGTGGGACAGAGGCTGAAAAATCAGTTGAGGTTTAGAGAGTGGGATGAATAAATGGACACAGTGACTCATACATAGTTGAAAAACATTCATGATTTCCCACTCTATTATTCTACAATAAAAGGCAAGCCTGATCAGTTAAGTGATAAGACTTGTAAATCCCACAGTTCTCTGCTTAAGAACCTTGTTTTTACCCAGAAACACCCAGTTTGGCCCCATCTGCCTCTCCTGCTTCATTTCTTCCCTCTGGCTTTGGTTTCTCAAGCTGTAGCCCCATTGCCTTCCTAATTCCTGGCCATTTTTCTCCACATCCCTCAAGATTCAGCTGAAAAGCCACACCCCTCTCCTGGTTTAAGGCCATGTCGCTTAAAAATATTCACAGCTATAATTTAAATAGTTCATTAAAACAAAGATCTAACTGGAGTAGGAATGTGAGGAAAGGGACTTCATCTTCTAAGACTTAACAAAGTTAAGGACAAGTGGCAATGAGCCATTCTAGGTAGAAACTGAATAGAGTAGGTAAAGTCCCTAGGACTCTGGGACTGAGAGGTGTAAAGACCTCATGGTGAGAACACGGAATGCCTGAGGGTGCAGAGGAATTTGGTATTTGAGTATTAGTCTAAACACAGGTTGTTATATCAGATGCCTCCAAATGTAAGGAGAGTAGAAGAGCTAGAACTGGTTACTTACACATGTGAGGGACTATAATGTAAAACTTGGGACGACTGAATATTTCATTATCCTTGTTATCCTTGCACCCGCCAAAGTTGCTTTTGAAGAGATGAAATGTTCTTTCTGATACAGAACCCAACACTTGTTCATTCATTTACACTGTAGAATATTTACAGTACTCTGCTAATACTGTCTTCCACTTTAAACAGCATCAGCTTTTGAGAGCTTGTTTGGAGGTTCTAGCAGGGGAGCACAGCTACTCATATGCCCTTGACCGAAGAACGGTCCTCCTCTATCGGGGATGGTTGTCCTCTTTGACCAAGCGAGCAGCTTCGGGAGGGACGCACATGGAGCAGTGAGGGAGGAAGGGGACACCCGGCTAGCCAGCTAGATCAGCCGAATCAACCCTAGCAATCAATGGGGTGACATGTCGCAGGCAGATCACCCTCACATTCCAGCATCAGCTTTTGGGTGAAGTCACTGTCCCACAGCTCTCTGAATTAGATGCAATATCTGCAACTTCTCTTTAAAACCTGAGCACCAGACAACTTTCAAGGAAAGTGTGATGCTTTGATCATAGACAAGAATGAGCCCCTCTCAAATATCCAGACCAAGGAGTTTGTTACATCAAGATTGCTCTTTTTTTACAGGAAAAAATATAGTTGCAGACTGTTGGTTAAGATCACCAAACACCTTTAACTGATTCTCTGATATTAAATTTGGTAATACAGATCTGGGGGGAGTCAGGTGAATATTTCCATTCTGGAAAAAGGCAGACATGATCCATCACCCTAGAAGTCCCACCATTGTCATTTCACTACAGTTTTGAGATGGATAAACCAAGCTTACAACAGAACTCTTCCATAAGGACTATTAGAGCTAAGTGAGAAAGCAGTGTAGTTATTTTTTAAAATTTATTAGACTGATATCACATTTCATTCCACAAAAGGTTTAAGGCAAACTATCATCCTTATTCACAGTGAGAAAGCTGACTGTGGGGGTCTAACAGGGAGATGAAGGAAAAACAGCTAAAAACTGAAAATAGTTTTAAAGGTTGAATTAAGGGTACTTGATCTCAGCAACTCTATGTACACTAATTAAACATGAGATAGAGATTTCTTTAAACTGAGAAAGAGAATTCATGTCAACTCTAAGTCTAGGCACAAAAAGGTAAAGGACTTGACTAAAGTCTTACAAAGATAATTTCATACCGTACCCTGAACACTTGGTTGCTTCTTTTGGGTGGAAAAGTTAAATCTTAGTGATTGGATAAAAGGATATACACAAAGAACATTCAAGTTGAAGACTGTCACAACACAAACAGGTCCTGCCTTTGGTAACTTCAGGACACCAGTGTTGGCATGCCCTCCTGAGTCCAGGTGCCACAGCTCACCTGCCAGAAGCTCCAGGACGTCTGGGCCCCTCCCTGAGAACAAGGAGTTCACCCAAATGATTCCTGAGCCATCTGTGTCTCAAATCCTAAGAATTGGCCCAGTGACCCTTTAGAAAGCTTCAATGAAAAGTGGCAAAATGTGAGCTTGCAAGAACTAAGAGCCTATTTACCATCAGAATTGAGAACTAATTCAAGTCAAACCAAATGTCATTATCATTACTGAACTTTGACTTTTAAATCAGTTTTGAGTTACTTACCATGAGTTAAGTGTATCAACTATAACCAAAACAGGTAGTATTACACTTCTTGCATTTCTAAACATCCCCAATTTCTAACACTGTATATGCCATTCAACACACATTTTTTTTTTCCTCCAGTAATAAAGAACAGGTCTTTCCTCATAATGCTGTCCATGTTCTCCTATGCGCACAGGTGTCAGCTCTATTTTGTTGCTTTTCTTGATAATGCGTACATAATATTTCACGTTGCCCACACATCTGAAAGTAGGTATAAACCCAAGTATTCAAATTGTAAGTCACTTAACTGTACAATAAGAACAACTAGAGACATTATGCAAGCATTTGTTAAAAATCAGCTTTGTATTGAGGCTTGTTTAAAATTGTTGCTAGTGATGTTTCTGCTAACAGTCAGTGCTCGAGGTCATTGATTGTCAGAATCAGGAGTGAGTGCAGGAGAACATTCATCACTCTGTGTACCAGTGAAAGACAACGGCTGGCACTAGCACTTGGCATAACATGTGGAGAAGACTCCAGAAGGAACCCAGAGTTCTTTGTTACATAGTTGATCTCTCCTTCATATCAGATGAACTCTCCTACAACTGCCTTTTCTTTTTTTTTTTTAAACACAAAGCTCTATTCCAGAATAAAGAAGTGCTACTGTCACAATACTAGAACTTATTTTCTGTTTTTGGTGTTGACCTGCTCATGAAATACCTGTTAGCAAAAATTTGACCAAGTTTGCCATCCTATTACAGATACTTTAAAAAGTACCCCCAAAAAACTAAAACTCCCATTTTTCTACATGAACTACATACTGAAATCCCACAATAATCATCTTTAAATGTACATTTTACTCATTAGCACGTTTCACAGTTTTGAGTAGTCAAGTCACTCATGAATATTTTGTAGTTATCTGTTCAGTCCTGGCATGAAATATGTGATTCCAGCTTGATTTAGAGTGTATGATTCTGCTTTCCATGTTGATCAAGTAAATTTATGGTGTGTCTCTTCTGATCTTCAGCATTAAAAACTTAAAAAGGAAAAAAAAAACATAATATTTTAGTATTAAACATTTTGAGAAACCAGCCCAGTTAGGTTCCATTTTGCATAAGCTTTTACAAACTAAGGACTATGTCTCCTTGTAGCAGCACTGATTTGTAATTGCATTCCTAATCAAGGGTAAGATATCAAAACAGACTAGATGTATGGCCAACAATATGTCATGAAACAAAGCTAAAATCCCTAAAACATCCATAAGTGTTAAAAACAGTGAATTAATACAGTCCCTGACTCATGCCATGTGACCTCATGGCAAGTCCGCCTCCGAGGCACACCTCCTCAGGGCCTTCTATCTGCAGCTTAGGGGCGCATGTGCTACTCCAAAGTTTTGTCTTTTTTTTTTTTTTTTTGCAGTACTGGGGTTTGAACTTAGGGCCTATACCTTGAGCTAATTCATCAGCCCTTGTTTTGTGATAGGTTTTTTTTTCAAGATAGGACTGGCTTTAAACTGTGATCCTTCTGATCTCTGCCTCCTCCGTAGCTAGGATTACAGGTGTGAACCACCAGTCCCCAGCTACTCCAAAGCTTTCTGTACAGAATTTAGGTCTATTGCATTTACCAACAGGACTTAACTCTATGCTTTGACATAAATGACATAAAAAGCGTGTCACAAATAAAACTTAAAACCTGTACTTTGTAACTACTGCATGTTAAAAGGTTAGTAACTTAAATGACTGCTGTAGTATCTTTTTAAAGTTGGAGCTAATATTTTTCATCTAATTTCCCTGGAGTAAGTAAGGTCTTAACTATTTAAATTATATAATCTTAAAGTAATGTTGAAGGTGTTGGTGACGTTTCTTCAACTTAAAAGACATACCTTGCCTACCTCCTCACTTTGTTTAAAACTCTGCACAAGGTCAAATCGGTGTAGAGATGAAAGACCACACTTTGTTTCACTGCAAAGTCAGACATTTAGAAGGACACCAAGCTCAATTACAAGATTATTAAGCAAGATGTAAGATAGTGACAAGACTAGGCAGAATATTCTTCAATGATCAAAAGACAAGTGGAGTAATTATATACAAAGAACGAAAAGATGAAGAGGCCTTGTTTGCTTAAAATTCTCCCTGCTGATGTGTTAACCTTTTGCCTTTTATCCTAAGAAGTCCAGGAAAATAATTTAAAAATCAAGTTAGGATTTAGATTTCTAGAAACATTAAACTGTCAGTTGAAACAACTGACATGCTGTCCTGGTTAAATATGAAAGATATTTTCTAAGAATGCATTACTGAATCACACAAATCAAAATGAGGAACTTTCTACTAAACAACTGCACCATATACTTCAAAAAGCCATTAACAAGAGTTTATAAAAGCATGAGTGATGAACACAGAAAAGGCACCACGTTAAAGGACATGAAAGGAGTACAACAGTAAATGCAGTCTACAATCCTGGATCAAGAATGGACATTAGTTGGACATATATTAAACCTGAACAGTCTATGAACTGGGTAATAGCACTGTATCAATATTTATTTGGACAACTATACAATTGCATCTGTTAACATTTGAGGAAACTAAATGAAGAATATATGGAAATCCCTTTTACTATTTTTTTTAAGTCTGAATTGTTTAAAAGTGAAAAGCCAAAAATTAAAAAAAAAAAAAACATGAAAAATTGTTCATCTGGTTACAAAAGAATGCATCTGGGAGGCCAAAAGTGAAGAAAGTGACAACTCCTAAAGGTATATAACTAAGCATCAAAGCTGGCTTTGACCCTGAGGATTTTAGCTGACACCTGAAGGTATCAGCATTTCCCTTCACCCCTCACAGGTGAGCAGGGTTCAAAAATTCAAGCTTTACCACAGGTTGGGAGGTCAAGCACAGAACCCACACATACAGCTGAAATCCCAAAGGCTCACATCCCTGTTTTAAAGGTAATGGTATATAAACCTGCAATGAAAATGGGACAGCAAGCTGTGTGTGGCCTAGACTGTTTCTAGCCACCAGATGATTACAGTTTGTAACTTGGATTCACATTATCTTATCAAAAGGAAAAAAAAAGGTTTTCTTTAAAGAGGTCATGAATCTGTAGTGCCCTCAATTCAAATAACAAACTACTATCTTGTGGATGCAACTGTAATTTGGTCCTCAAATAGCACCTGCACGAACAAAAAAAACCTGTGTGGTGGCATCCTCAGGAGGGATGAGGGCAGCCTGGCCTGGGCAGTCATCAAGATCTTATCTCAAGGGCAAAATAAAGCAGTAAAAAAGGACTGAGGGCCTATCTCAAATCATACAGCACTTGCCTTGCAAGGGTGAGGCACTGGGTTCAATCAGTACACAAACTGAAAAAAAATAAAAAGGTAAAATAAAATAAAAATGAAAATAAAATCTTTCCAGACTCCTACAATCTGGAAAGAAAACTTTGAAAACTGGAAGAATACTGAAATATTCTCAATGCAGTCCAGAAAGGTAGAAATGAAAAAATGTTTTTTAAATGGCAAGATACAGGAATAGGATGAGATCTGTTAACATGAGTTCAAGGAGGAACCAGAAACAGAAGCAGCATTCACAGAGATACTTACCATTTAAATTCTTGTCATTCCCCGCAAGGGCTGCCTGCTTGTCTGTTTCAGATTCCGCCTCATTTTCATCCATGTTGTATTCATTTCTCAGTTTTGGTTGGTTTTTCCCTGTAAAACCAGCAGGTAAAATAAACATAAGCCACTGGGGGTTACCTCAGTCATCCTTCAATGGTCAGTCATTGTTACCTCTCTGAAAGTAAGGACTTGTGCCTGCTTCCAGTACAAATGCCATGCAGGGGTGTTCTGCTTAAGCTGTGAATCTACACACACACACACACACACGCACACACGCACACACACACACACACACACACACAAGCAACTCAGGATGTAGCTCAGTGGTAGAACACTTGCTTAGCATATTGAGAAACCCTGAGTTCAATCACCCCAGTACTACACAAAAAAGTTGCAGTGGTACATACGTGTAATTCTAGCACTCAAGAGGCTGCAGTAGGAGGATTTGTTTGAGGCCAGCCTGGGCAACATAGTGAGGCCCCATCTCTGGTAGAGCACCTGCTTTGCAAGCACAAAGCAGAGTTCAAACCCCACTCCCATCAAAACAAAAGGTCATAATCCAGGTTGGAAATACAGAAACTAACTAACAAAAATTCCAGTTTTTTTAAAGAAACAACTGAAAGTCAAAAGTACAGTTTTTTAGGAAACAAGTCTCTTGGTAAGCACAGCATCTCCTTAAGATGGCTCACTACTCCAAGAGAGAAGGGAGTTGCTGTTGTGCACCAAAGAATAAAACTGTCCATTCTATATACATAACTGGGTCATCCAATACCAGGCCCATCCTACAGAGAACAGCAGCCAGAAAAGAAGATCAGGAGAATGCAGTCAAGATACTGAAAAGGTCTAACTTAAACATTTTATGCATGTAAATGGCGGGGGGGGGGGGGGGGGGCGGATGAAAACTTTTCTTTGAAGCATGCATGCCTGGAAAATCTACTCTGTTTTTCTGCACTTATAACCTGAGGTGGAAACAGCACAGTCCTGTTTCACCTGTGGGCCCAGTAGGTTTATTACAATCCATCTGGAAGGTGCATAATGCAACCCTTGTACTACCTCAGGTGCATCTTTAGCTGCTACCCTTGTGCTCAGACAACTCAGAGCTATGGGATGAACCACGGAGTGTGGTTTCCTGCCCATGAGCATCTTGTTGCTGGACAGGTATGAAGAGCAGAGCCCTGAGCAGTGATGCTTAGCAGGAGGCTAACAATGCAACTCTAACTGGGGCTTCAGAGGACACATTATTCTGAAAGAGACTGAAGCACAAGTTAGATTCTGCAAATAAATACATTCCCCCCGACTACTGCTATTAGTCCATCCCAGAGCATAGGTGTCAGGTCTGCATCCATGCTCCCAGTTCAGGTGGGATGGAAACTTTCCATATCTTTAAGCACTGAAATAGATCCCAGATATTCTGTTGATCTCAGATTCCTGCTATTTTGTAAAACAAAAACAAATGGGATTCATGTTACACTTTTCTTTGCTGCTGAAATATGCCCTAACATCTCCCCATTTCTTCGTTTCTTCAGTCCTTTATATGGAGGTATGGTGAGGCTCCATGGGTTGCACATGGGCTCCTTTCTACCAGGCACTATCTCCATTCAACCAGACACCACATGAGGTGGAGAAACAAAGACACCTGGGGATGGCCTGCCTGCTGTTAAGCAGCCATGTCAAGATTGGACATTTGCAATCCCCTGGACTTCCTGTTAATATTTATTTCTGAAACCTAAAGTGCTACAGTGTATACTGTCCTAACTCCCACATGATAACTGATTTAAAAAAAAAAACAACTACCAAATCACAAACTGGTAAAATTTAAGAGACACATCCAGTGTTAGAAGCTGGAGAGGACAGAATGCCTGGTAGAAAGGAGCCATGGGCAACCCGTGGAGCCCCACATACCTCCCTCAGTAGCATCCTGCTCCTCTTGGCTGTCACGGATAATAAGTTGGTCCCGCTCAGGGTCTTCAGGCTCCTGGTTTTTAGGATTCTCCAACAAAGCAGCTGGCACCAGAGTGGTTTGGCCAAGTTCTCTAGCACCCCCAAAGCCTCTTCTGCCCACAGGTCTGTCTGCTGCAGCCTGTTCTTGGCCTGGCTCCTGGAGCAGCTGCAGACTGTTTCTTTGGGGCTCCTCTTCACTGACAACCAGGATCTCACTGGTTTCCTCTGTGCACAGAATGGTTAGCTGTGACTTCAACAGCATTTTAATTGAAACAAATTCCCAGAGTGTACCCAAGGAAAGGGGATGGGGTGGGCTACATGGGCAGCAGCTGGGAGCTGAATTGGTGACCTCAAAAGGGATCTGCATCAAAGTATCCTTACAGTCTGCAAATAGAAGAGGCTGTAGTGCTGAGCTGTCTGATGGTCATCTGTTTGAGACAAACTGGGGCCATACTGGCCACCCATGAAGGCTACCTGGGGTCCATCCCCACCCCATCGTCCCACCATCTCCTTGATATCCTGAATAAAAGCATAGTCTGAACATATACCACATAGCTCCTGAAGAATGAAGCACTTAGCTTAGCTTATACAGGATTATTGACAGTAAGACAGAGAAGGAGACCTGTGGCCCCATTCCAGTAGCTGAGAGAGACACCTGCACCTGCCAGCCCCCCTGCCAAGCTCCTCAGCCACCTCTAGCTACACACTGCCTGTACAGTAGCTGTGTGGACCAGAAAGCATGACTGCCACTACCTGTACAATGTGAGAAGATACAACATAAAAGAAACTGCCACGCTCCACTTACTTTTCTTCCCTTGTCTTTTCAAATCCAAAACCACCTCAGAACTAGGGGCTGGTGTTGGGGACTTGCCATTACTGGGCTCATGTACTTTTCCTTGTGACACTTGGGCCTGTAGCAGGCCTGCTTCCTTCAGTCTGGGCTGCGGCTCACTGAGGGCTAAGGGCTGAAACAGAAACACAAGATGGCCAGATAAGGGCTGTGACCAAAACCGTCACGAGGATCTCACACAGTACAATGCAGCACGATACCCTTAAGCATACTGAAACCATAAGAAACACCACAATACATCCTGTTCATGGTTTAACATCAGGCATGATGTTAAATTCAGGCCTCCTAGAAAAGAATGAACACAGATTACAAACTAGACAGAAAAATCAACAGAGAAGACAAACTCCACAATAAACCACCTAGACTGAACAAACATCTATACAACACTCAACCCAACAAGCAGAAAATACACAATCTTCTCAAGTGCACATGGAATGTTTCCCAACACAGGCATAGAGTAGGCCACACAGCAAGCCTCAATGAACTTAAATGAAATCATACACAGCATGTTCTCCCATCATATGTGATGAAAACTATAATCAGTACAAGATTGAAAGAGAAATTTGCAAATTTATGGAAACAACATACTCCTAAATAACCAATGGGTCAGATAAGAAATCACAAAGCAAATCAGAAAGATACTTTGAGACAAATGGAAACAGTAACACAACCTACCAAAATATATGGGAAAGCAGCTAAAACTGTGCAGAAGGGCATTTACACCTTTCAACACCATTATTAAGAAAAAAGACTTCTGGTTTCTAGTTCCTCACGCAGGGCTTAGAAGTCCTAACAACAAGTAAATAGCCAAACAGACTGAAAAAAACATCAATTCTTCATGGATTCGTAAGAGAAGTGCACACGCAGAGCAAAGCCCTGGTCCTAAGATTGGAGACAGAACACGGAGGCATGGCTTACTTATGAAAGCAGAGACTGATAAGCAGACACCACAATTAGTATTGAGGCATAGAAATCTGAATTGTAATTTATAACCTGCTGGAGCCTCAGTGCGGACAAGCTGAAGTTAAAAGGTTCAAGGGTCCCAACCACAGTAAAACTTTTGTTTTACTTCTAGAAGCTCACAGTTTCTCACAGTGAATGTTAGAGAAACCTTGAGGGGTTGGCAGTGGGAGGGGAAAAGGAAATATTTTGAAATATGCCAGAGAGCATTGGTTCCTCTTTAACAAAGTGAACTAAGCTGCTGGGGTATCATCAGTGGCTAACTGACTTGGGGGAGGAGTAGGTAGAAGCATCTATGAAGGCCACAGCTTGGGGGCACAGACTCACTAGAAGAACTATTCCTAGAACCACAGAATGCTCCCCTTCATCACACATTTCCAATGCTTTACAAAAGACCTATTTACAACAGTGCCTTTTACCCAGTATGTTATGTCCAGTTACAAAGAAAAAATTAGAAGGTATTCTACAAGGCAAAAAACATAATCCAGAGGGAAAAAGAGGAAGCATCAGAACCAGACATGGCAGGAATGTCAGACTTAACAGACCAAGAATTTAAAACAACCATGATTAATATGTGAAGGGCTCTAATGAATAAAGTAGACAGCAGGCAAGAACAGACAGACAGAGAGATGGGAATTTTAAGAAGAAAAAAGCAAAAAGAAATGCTAGAGATCAAAACTACTGAAGCAAATTAAGAAAGTCTTTGATGAGCTTATTACTGGACTGGACACAATGGAGCAAAGATTTTCTGAGCTAGAGCATCTTTAGATAGAAACCTGAGCTGAAAAACAGAAGAAAGACCTGCGAAGAACAAAACAGAACCTTCAAGTACTGTGGGACAACTACAAAAGGTAGTAATACGAAATCAAACTAAGAGTCAGAAAAGGGCAAAAAAATCTGGAATGAGAAGAATGAGAATTTCCCTCAAACTTATGTCAAATGAAAAAACCATAGGTCCAGGAAGCTCAGAGAACACCAAGCAGGCTAAATGCTAAGAAACCCATATCTAGGCCTATCATTTTCAAACTACAGAAAACCATAAAGAAAACTCCTGAAGAAGCCAAAGGGGAAAAAAACTACTTTCTCTTTCAAGAAACACAAGCTGACATCTCAAAAATTATGCAAGTGTGAGAGGAACTCAGCAATCTAGAATTCTGTGCCATGCAAAATTATCCTTCAGAAGTGAAAAATCAAGACTTTCTCAGAACACTCATTCCTCCCTTTGCTTGCTGCTTGTCTCCAGGCTGGATCCTGTCTTCCCCAGGTGCTGAATGAAGCTGCACAGTAGACGGAGTCTTGCTCTGTGGAGAGCTGGTTTCCTTACTGGTGAGGGCACAGTAGTGACTCTTGGGGTGGAATACAGGGCCTCACACGTGATAGGCAAGTGCTCTACCACTGAGCTGTGTCCAAACCCACTAACTAAGGTAAGACTCTGATAAGACTCAAAGCATGAGGCTGGAAAAACAGCAAGTGATAACTTTACTTGCCTATTTATCAGAGGTAAAAGTTGCTAGGCCAGAGATGAAGAACTTAGAGACTCAGGAGAAAGAGTCTTCAGAATGGAAGGAAAAAGAAACCCCCAGATTGGAGGAGCAAGAGGCCACAGGACTAGAAGAGGAGGGAGAAGAAACCTAGGAGGTAAAAGAAAATGGGGAAGAAGAGGCCTAGGATAGAGGAAAGGGAGCAAAGTTGGAAAAAAGAAAAGAAAATCCTACCTGGCTTTCTTTGTTGAAGAAACTGACAAGCCAATCCTAAAATTCATATGGAAAAATCAGGGGTTGCAGAAGAGCCAAAAAATCTTGAAAATGAACAGCCAAGTTGGAAGACTCACTACAAAGCTCCAGCAGTCAAGACTGGTAGTGAAATAGTATAAACAACAGATCAGTGGAGCCTGGAGCCAGTGACTCATGCCTGTAATCTGAGCTACTAAGAAGGCAGAGATCAAGTGGATTGTGGTTTGAAGTCAGCCCAGGCAAATAGTTTGTGAGACCCCTATCTTGAAAAACCCTTCACAAAAAAGGGCTGGTGGAGTGGCTCAAGGTGTAGGCCCTGAGTTCAAACCCTAGTACTGCAGGGGGCGGTGGTGGGACAACAGATCAGTGTAGCAGATCTGAGAGTCTAAAAGCAATCTCCCACACAGTAAACTATTATTTAACCAGGGTGCCAATATAATTCAGTGGAGGAAAGACTAGTCTTTTTTTTCAACAATGGGTACCAAACAATTTAATGTCCACACAAAAAACATTGAGGTTGAAATCCTACCTCACACCATAAACAGAAATTGTATTAAGCCAAAATGGTTCACAGGCATAAATGTAAGATCTAAGAACTATAAAACCCTCAGAAGAAAATATAGCTCAAGTGGTAAAGCACCTGCCTAGCAAGTGTGAGGCCCTGAGTTCAAACCCCAGTAAATATATATATATATCTCAATATCATCCATAAAGTGTAAACACAACCCACAGATTTGAAAAAATTTGCAAATCTTTATGATACTGGATATATGGAATACATATAAAGGACTCTTACAATTTAAGTCAATTAAAATTGGCAAATGATATGATCAGATATTTCTCCAAAGAAGATCTACAAATGATAAATAAAATTTGTGAAAAGATGCCCAACATCATTAGTTATTATGGAAATGCAAATCGAAACCATCGTTTGTAGGTATCATTTCACAGCCACAAGGAAAAGATAAACAGTAACAACAAAGAGTTACAGAAGGTCTTCATAACCTGCTGGTGTGAATGCCTCATGGTGTGACCACTGTAGAAAATAGTGTGGCATTTTTTTTTTCAATAGTTAAATATAGATTACCATAGGATCCAGCAATCTATCTCCTCATTATTAACCAACAGAAATGAAAACATATCCACACAAAAACGCATACACAAATGTTCATAGCAGCATTATTCATAATAGCCCCAAAGTGTGGAAACCCAAATGACTACCAACTGAAAATGAGTAAAGAAAATGTGTGGTATCCATGCAACAGAGTATTCAACATAGTATTCTTTAGCCATAAAAAAGGAATGAGGTCCCAACAGAGGCTACAACATGGATGAACCCTAAAACTACTAAACTAAGTGAAAGAAGTCACACACAAAAGTCCATATATTACACTATGTGATTCCACTGACAGGAAACATCCAAATAAGGCAAATCTACATATACAAAAAGTAGATTAGTGATTGTTTATGGCTGTCGGGTAAATGAGGGTTTCTTCTGCAGGAAAATATTCTAAAATCAATTGTACTGATAGTTGAATGCCTTTGTGCATATACCAAAACCACTGAACTATAAAATTTATATAAATAAATCATGGGATATGTGAATTATCTGCTCTGTTTTTTTAAACATCAAACAGAGATCTTCCAAAAGGTTCCAAGCAGTAGCTTCCTGGGCCATGGTGGTACATGGGAGGCTGATCTGCTCTCTCACTGACCAGGCAGGCCCTGCCCACAGTATCCAGCATCTCCACAGGCCTCAATGACCTCAAAAAGGTAAACATCAGGGCAGCTGTTGACTTCAAAGGAATTCCCATGAAGCCCTGAGCTTGGGCACTGGGCCTGGAGGCCCACACACCTGGTTGGAGTCCAGGGATCCCAGGACCAGGCTTTGCTCTGTGGCATATCAGGGAACCACACCCGCAGGGGACAGCCAAGACAGAGCACATCAGTAGATACAAGGAACAAAGCACCTGAACAGCTCCCAGATTACCTGCTGATGGTTGTTTTTTTCACCTAGGCTTCTGGAAGCTACAGCATCATTTCTCCTTTTGGTGACCTCTTCTATCCTCTCTTCACACTGCTCCTTCACCTCTTTCATCTGGTTGATACACTGGCTCCTTTGTTGAAAGAAAGCAAAAGGATAAGTACTTATGGATGTGTCTGGGCACAAAGTGCTTCCCTGCTGAGCTCCCAAATCTATTTCAGTGAGACACATGGACCCTCTCTTTCCTGTTTCAGGCACTTTTCTCCAAATCAGGAATTTATGACACAGCAATATGTAGGTTTTCAATTATTAAATGACTGTGGAAAAAAATCAATTGATAGAGACTAAAGATTTGTTACTTGTTCTAAAATAGGTGAACTTTACTGATTTACAAGATTTTAAAGACTGTAATCCATAGAATAATTATATATATTTATATATATAATTTGGTCTTTGGCACTGGCTACTGGCACAGAGCTCCTAAAACCCCTGGAATTTCCTGAGTGTTAGGAATGTCTTTTCTTATTAACAAGCTCTTTGGACCAAACCTGTGTTTATGCTGAGGTGATAGATGTTGGGAAGGTTACAAAGGGGTGCTGACTACCAGGGACTGGAGAGCTGAACTCTACCCCCTCCACACCTCCATATTGAAATCCAGATAAAAACTCTGGACCACAAGGCTCAGTGAGTTTTCCAGCTGGTGAGCATAGGTAGCATCCAGACTCCATGAGGACAAATCCTCCTGTCCGGCCCTACCACCAGCATACAGATCTCTTATCATTTGGCCGTTCCTGAGTTGTATCTTTTATAATAAAACCATAATAGTAAGCCCAGCTTTCCTGATATCCCTGAGTCATTCTGGCAAATTAGCAAACCCAAGGGAGGTGGCAGATAACCCTGTATTTAGAGCCATTCAGGCAGAATTGTGGGTGAATGGGGGAGGACATTGTGGGTGAAAGGAATTTTCTGGGCTTGAGCTCCTCATCTTGTAGAGTTTGAACTAACTCTGGGTGGTGTCAACATTGACTCTGGAGGACACCAGTTGTCAAATAATTGCTGTTGGGATGTACCTAGTCTTCTGCCTAGAATTTAAGAGCATTTCAGCAAGTGTCAGAGCTATAAAGAGTATCATATTATATTTGCTTTGCAAATGGGTAAGCTAAGAGGTGACTTGACTGCCTGCCTGCTGTGGACCAAACTGCACAGTAGTTTGGCACTAGAGTCTGGACCTAGAAGCCAGACTCACATTTCTGACTGTGCCATACTCTCTCTACCACACAGCTGCCTTTTCTGAGTTGCAGGGCTTTCAGAGCCCAGCATGAATGCTGCACTTAGCTTCTAACTTGGGACATACCCTTCAGCAGTTCAAAGCACCACAGGGTCACTACATTCCACACACAGAAGGAACTCAGGTGCTGTAAAAACAATGAAACATGAAGTTCCTGACCTCAGACAGCTAAGAGATCAAGTGAAAACTTCAATGAAATAAACTTCTCACAAACACACAAGCTGTAGGTGGTAGACTAGCACACAGGAACTTAAACAAAGAGGCAGTGGCATCCTAAGGAGCTGACTGAGCAGGTCTACAAAGGGGAATTGCTGGCTTCCTTTGCTCCTGGCCTGCAAGAGTAAGTACAAAGGGCTTCTCTCTCAGCAGTGTAAATGCTCACTTTCCCACATTCCAGTTCGACAGCTCAGTACAAAGCTCAACTCCTGAGAAATACATAGGTCATGTAGACTGTTTTTTTTTTTTTTCATTTTTCTTTTATTATTCATATGTGCATACAAGGCTTGGTTCATTTCTCCCCCCTGCCCCCACCCCCTCCCTTACCACCCCACTCCACCCCCTCCCGCTCCCCCCCCTCAATACCCAGCAGAAACTATTTTGCCCTTATCTCTAATTTTGTTGTAGAGAGAGTATAAGCAATAATAGGAAGGAACAAGGGGTTTTGCTGGTTGAGATAAGGATAGCTATACAGGGCATTGACTCACATTGATTTCCTGTGCGTGGGTGTTACCTTCTAGGTTAATTCTTTTTGATCTAACCAGTGTTACTTCCTGAAAGATTCAGGATGGCTCTTTCTAACACGTACAGGGTTCAGCATTAACTGGCCTACAATTGCGGGCACACACAGGACTTGGTGTGACTGTGAACCAGAGTATCATTAAAGATTCCTGTGCTCAATACAGAAACCTATCAAGGTCACTAATTGTCACTCAGAGTACCATATTACATTTGCAAACTGTTTCTTCATGACATGGTTTATCTTGTGCTGACTCAGGTGCTCTGGTGAAATGTTGGGTCTAGAGACCTAAGGCAGATGAATATCCCATCCCCCATGGAGGACAATATCATTTCTACATCCTGAGGAGATGGAGGCCTACATTCCTGCATCCTAAAGGAGAGATGCAGATCTGCCACAGGGCTGATGAGCAAAATGCTCTCAAGATTGTTTCCCCTCCCCCAATAAAGGTGCTAACCAAACCAGTTCACCTGAGAAAGCCCGTGAATCCATGGCCAATGAGGAAAATCCACCTAACTCAAGAGTTAAAATGTTCATAAAAACTCCAGCCTTCACCTGAGCAGCGAGCCACTGGCTTTCCAGGCTCCGCTGCAGTGCTCTAGCTCTAGCCTTTCCTTTCTGCCTAATAAGTCCTACTTCCAATACCAGCTTTGGCTCATCATTCAGCTGCCTCACGAGCCAGTTCTCTGGCCTGTGAAGGAAAGCACCCTCGACACTGGCACGTAACATTTTGGCGACCACGAAAGGACCCAATCTCTTCTGAACCAAGGTCGGTATAAATTGTGCCAAACTGGGAAAGGCTGCCTAGGAATGTGACCATGAGCATCTGGCACTCCAATGGAGTCTGTTTTCCAGGAGAGACCCCTCACCACGGCCTAGCTACGGTGGAACTCTCAGACCGACCCCCTCTCTCTCTTCTTTCTGTCTTGTTAAGGAGGGTTTCTCCCTTGGGAAACTAAGGAAAAGCTCTGAGCTCACTACAGCTGAACAGCAGGCAATCTGAGGAAACTCAGATGCCAGGTGGGGGTGGGGATTATACCACACTGCCAATGCCACATGGGCAGAACCCGACTTCAGGGCACCAAGGCTCTTTTCTTTTTTCCTCTCCTTAAACTCTAACTCTCTCTCACTCAAGATCTGACCTGCTTAAAAGGAGGTCCGAAAACAGCCAGTGGAAAAGAAAGTTTGTCTTCAAGCCAAAAAAGGTATTCTGGCCAGGGCATTGCCTTGGTGTCACCCAAAGGCTGGAGACGCAACTTCCTGACCTGCCCTGAGGTTCCAAAGGTGGCTATGTCTCAGACACCTCCAGTCATGTCTGTGGCAAACAGACAATCAGATCTCTCCTGCTTCCTTCATAGTTTCCGTGGCCCGAGAGTGGAGGTCACTCCTTGCTTCCAGTGCTCCAGTACTGCCTTTGGGCAGGATCGACCTGGACAGCAGGGATGATCAATAATCCCTCATGCCTTGAGCCTGGAAACTCTCTTTTCCCCAACACTCAGCCTCTTCTTCCCCTTTCCCAAGCAGTTCTAAATAGCTGTGGGCTTCCTTCAGTGAGTTTGGAAAATACACCCGTCCTGCTCCCTCCCTGGTCTCGCCTTGTCCTTTATCTCTGTCTTCCCTCCCTGGGCTTACTGGGATCCTGACTTCCCATGAAAAACTTGTAGCATGGTATCTTATGACTTAAGTTATTCCAACTAGTTTACCAGCCCTCTTTGGGAGACAAATCGCTTACGAAAAACTGTGGCTGCCACCCCAGCTCCTGGACACAGCAGGAAGCCTACCATAGCTAAGATAATCCATAGAGAGGACCCAGCACATCCTAGGCCGCCAGCCACACGTGGCAATGACTGCCGCCCCCAGCCACTTCCTCAAAATGGATGAGAGGAAAAATAAACGCTCACAGGCGTGCGTACACAGGAAGGGGGGTAAGGGTGAGAGGCCACAGGATGGGATCGCTCATCCCAGGCGTGGGAGGGGGCAACGGTGCTTTGCTCAAGCCTGGTTCCCAGCCCCACCTTACACCTTGGGCCTGACCGACCCAACTGTCATAAGCTAATTGTTATTTCAAAGTTACAATCCCAGAAATAGCAAAATGGACGTCACTGTGGTCTAAATTCCTCATTTAAAATTTCCTATACTTTTGCGGCCTCAGCATAAATTTTCCCTCCAAACATTAGCACTAGTCGTCCCTTATGGTACTGTTATTGCCCCGGGATGCCCTCTGAACGTCCTTCTCTAACTTTACAGATGATGTATTCCTTTGTTAAAAAGGTAGCCTTTATTAAAGACGCTGCCTGCTGTTAGATAAAAAACAGGATCCTAGCGGGTTTTTTTTTTTCTCTTCTCACTGCATTGGTCAGGTGGTCTAACCCAACCAGTTCACTTTCCCCAGTCCTGACCACGGATGGGGGGAAGTCACGAGACAGGGATGCCTGGACTCATTGGTAAGGTCATTCCCAGTCAGGATGCTGACAAGAAGGGAACTGACCCAGTTTATTGTTGTCATCTTTCTAGATGGATCTGCCCCCTTCCAGTCCTCTGGTTTGTCTATTAAAACGTTGAAAGGAAATATTGGAAGCTTTGTAATGAGGCCTGGCCTCAGTATACCTTAGATGACCAAGAGAAGTGGCCTTCACATGGTTCCTTAAATTGCAATACCATACTCCAATTAGACCTTTTCTGAAAAGGAAAAAAAAGTAAACTGAGCTCCCTTATACAAATTTTATCTACCAGACTACCCAGATTGGCTCCACAATTGCTATCTAGATACTCAAATGCTGGCCATTCTTTGTAAGCCACAGGATAAACATGGGGAAGGATGACCAGAAATGCCCCTTATCAATGATAAGGCACCCTACTACTCCACCCTCTGCCCTACCTTCTAAGCCACCCCAATTTTCAGAACCTCCTAATAGGTGCTTCCCCCTTCAACAGGCCATGGTAGGAAGAGAGCGACTCTATGTCCCTTCCAGTTATCAGATCTAAGGGAAATTAAAAAAAGATCTGGACAGCTATACTGATGCACCTGACCAATACATTCCAAGCCTTTATCTCTATGATTCAAATCTTCAAATTGGTATAAAAGAATATTATCCTTCTATTATACCAA